CTTCAAGTCCTGTGCAAAAACGCATGATCGCACGGGCCCGTCCGGTGCGTTCCAGCCTGGGTTGATGTTCTGGCGATGTTTATGGATGTAATAAGGAGGTGGATTTATGGTAGAGGGCTCTCAGCATTGTTTTTTGTTTCAGCAATGAAAGTTTACACGCACGACTAAGTGAGATGATTAGCGAAGACCGGGATATGAAATCGATGCTATGGGAAGTGGGATTGCGACTGGATATTGTTGAGAAAAAACAACAATCGATGTTGAAAATGCTACAAAATTCGAGAAATTTTGCTAAAAGTTCTCGTTCAACTGATGATAATAGGTCGAAAATTGAGGAGAAGAAATTTGCTGCTAAGAAAGCGAAATCTGTCGAAATATTTGTTAATATCAGTAGCAGTGACGACGAATACGTAAGCAAACTTCATCATCAAAAGAAGATGGTGCCAGAAGTAGCAGCAGCTAACGTTTGCAAAAACCCGAAGAGGTATTCTTTGAGATTCCGTAATTTTGTCGTTGCATACCTTTTGGATGCACAAGTAGTGTTGCTATTTTTCTTGATTCTAAACTTACCTGCCCCCAAGTAACCCATATTGTACGAATGGCCCTTGCATTTCCATCTTGCGGTCTTTCTATTATTCTATAAGGGATAGCTCCTCTGGTTGTCCACTTCAAACAATTTATACTAAATAATTAAGTTCTAGGCCGGCAAAGTGGCCTATGGTAGCAATAGCCCAGTTCCTCAGTTGGGCGCAATACGTCGACCCTTTTTTGATAGTTTGACGAGCACTGCTCGTCGGATCCTTGTTCATTTCGTTCTGGCGAGCACAGTTCTTCAGCTCCTTCGATTCTCTGAGTTCAGTTCGTCAGCTCGTATTGACCTTATACCTTTTCGAGAAGTTATATCTTCTCGACACCTCTCCTGTTTAAAAAGCTTACTTTTTCACGTATCGTGTCCACTGCAGTAAAATCGAGGCGTGAGTTCACTTTGAAGCGTAAGAACTGTTTAGATCGTACACTTGGCGAAATGAAGATTACACTTCGATTACGGATACAATTATGGTGCCCGATCCAGAGCACTATCGTAAAGGTTCTGAGCAGTCAATCAGTTCACCGAATCTGTCCAGGACATCGTGTGGCAATAGTCGGGCACTGCGGAATTTCGAGGAGGTAATCTACTGTTCGAATAAATTATGGTTGGAAGATAAGAAGCCGGCACAAACTGAAGACAGGTAGCTCAGGACAGTCAGACATGTGAATGAATTTCAGAGATCCAAAAACATGAATTCTACATCAAATTCTGTTAAGCTTGTTACCTTAAGCTGATGACTGCGAAAATTTACCGCATTTACTGATTTTGTAGCTTGTTGGCGATGAACTGGGCAGTGTAAGCTACTTACCCAAAACATTTCCATTATGCTTATCCAGTGTAAAGCCAAAAAAACCCCTTTGTATATACTCATTCCGAGAAATAAATTTTTACCGCCATTCGGCCGTAGCGGTAAAAATCTGAAAAAATCCAGTTGTTGGCAGAACTGTTCTTGCGAGAGTTTGCTTAGAAGCAAGCTGGTGGCAACTGTGACTCGTCGGCAAGTACCAGTACCAATTTACCATCAAAACGAATGAACGATTCGTAGGCAGAATGAATGTCGCACTAGCGGAGTTGAATATAATTCAATATTACAAGATTACTACAACGCGCCTGAAAAGAAGAAACAAGAAAGACTTTTAAATCCATAAAAGATTACGCGAATTTCCCAGGCAGACATTTTATTCCGTGGATCAAACTTTTTAAAAAAACTTCATGTGCACAGTGGTGAATATCTTCCGATTCTTATCATTTTTATACGTTTTTGCTGTGCAGCGGTATAGCAGCGCTATAGCGCTGCTACAGCCAGCAAAAACGCATATTGT